AGTGGTTAACATCTCAGAGGACATGTTCCACTTCATAGTTCTTTCCAGTTCATACTTAGTCTTGTTTGGATTCTGTTGAAGTACCCTGTTTTTCTCACATTTAGCAAAGAGAACACTTTTAACCATTTTTAATTTGTTCTCTAGGTTTTTCTGAATCTCACTAGTATGACTCTATCCCTTAGCAGGTGCATCAAGAAGTATTTTCTTTTCAATCTATAAAACTAATTTTTCATTACATAGAGTGAGAACTTGTTCCTTTAGATCTATAACAACGCTTTTCAGTTTTTTGTACTTATCTCTAGTTCTTTGTTATCAAATTTAAGAGAGGTATATTCGTTTATGAGTTGTTCCTCTTAGTATATAGACTATGATATGCATCAATCAAGACCTTCGATAATAAAATTATTTTATTTTAGAATAAGTATGAATTTTTTTATGTCATAAAAATTTATCTCAGTTTGTCCATATTCTATATTTGAATCTGAGTTGGCGATTAGAGCAAAAATGTCTTTATTATCTAAGTCGGAATCATCTTCGGCTATCAAGGACTGATATTCATTATCACTGTCATCATCAATGTCGTCACTAGAGGTATTTCTCATAGCAGGTAGAGCCCTTTTTACGATCTTATATTCTTTATTCTTTGTCAGCCGTTTTTCATGAACCCGGTTCTCTTTTTTCTCTTTCACTTTATCAAGATTATTTTTCTTCTACTCAGTCTTCCATATTGGACAATTCCTAATAATGTGATCATAAATACCACACTTGTAATACTCATCAGTGTAGCTCTTTTCTAGAACCTTAGCTTTTGAGTTGCTACTTTTATTCTTGAATCTATTTTTTCTAATCATCTTTTGGAGCCTACATGTTAGTAGTGCAATATCATCATGAGTTTTTAGTTTTTCAGCGGCCTTGAGAACTAGGTTCTTTTCTTTGTGGGGCTCTGCCATCTGACGATCATGAAACTTCTTCTATTTATAGGTTTTTAAATTTCCAATAAAATCGTCAATGGTCATTGTGTCAAGATTCCTAACTTCAGTGATAGCATTGACCTTACTTTTCTATGAGGAAGGCAATATACTGAGAATCTTTCTTATGGTGGTTTTGTTTATTGATATGATTTCTCCAAGAGAGATTAACTCGTTAGTAATCTGTGTGAATCCAGTATGCATGTCTTGGATAGTTTTCCTCCTTCATCTTAAAGGGTTCATACTACCTTATGAGCATATTGATCTTGGACTGTGTGATCTGGTTCGTATCTTTACGTGCAGTCTGCAATGTATCCCATAACTTCTTAGAATTAGTGCATGTAGAGATTCGATTGTAATTGTCAGGTCCAATTCCAGAGATTAAGATCTTTTTAGACTTGGTATTCTTCTGAACAACCCTAACATCTTCATTAGAATATTGCTCCCGGGTTTTAGGTCTAGTTACTTTATCCTTGTCATCCTTAGCCATAGGAATCTTAGGACATTTCTGAATAATGTCCAAGAGTTCTAAATCTTCTCATTATAGAAAATCATGCATTTTTTCCTTCCATCATCCGTAGTATTTTTCGTTGAGATATGATAGCCTTGTGGTTGATTGTCCTTCTTGAGCATACAAAGGTGTAGCCATCTTGGATCCTTTCAGGTATTAGCCTTAATTTAAAGAACATGTTCTGATACTAATTGTTATATTAAGATGCACCAAGACACAAGAGAATACGGAGGTGAATTGTGTCACTCCTTATTTTCACGTGTTAAAGAACCTGATTCTTTAACCTGAGTAATCCAGACACAAATGGAAAGTAAAGTGCGAAAATTAAACAACATAATAATTTGCCTCAAAATTTCACTATCTTCAAAGAGAAACTTTAGGTTACAAATCAATAACCAAAGGGACTAACTCTAGTACCTTAACAATACAATTATAGCTATCTCTTTCCAAACTATAAACTCTAGCCTAGAAAGCTAAACAAATTCTTCGAATTGTTCACCTACTCTTTAATTACACTTCTCAATAAGCAGAATATGTTACAATTAAAGAATAATGACTCAAACCTAAAAGAACTTCAGCAGCGTCGTCGCCAGGGTTTGATTCTTCAATTGAGCTGCTTGAATCGCTCAAAGCATCTCGTATTGTGAATGTTATTTGTCTTGAATAAAATTCTATGTTTGTGCGAAATAGCATCATTCTTCAATAGAAGCAGTGATATACTTTATATAGGAGTGAGGTTAGCCGAATTCTTTTTCAATTCTAGCTTCAAAACCTACAATAATTTGGTCACCTCTTAAAGAAAATAAATCCTAAAAGGATTCTATTTTCTTTCTTAAAAGACTCTTCACATGTTTTTCATTTCTATGCAATTATTTTATATAAATCATGAATTCTTGTTGACCACGAATTTTTTCAATTATTTCCATACTTCCAGCACACGAAACAAATCCTTCATGTAGTCTAACTCGCAATACGAATCAGCGTTTGGCTTCTGATCAACGTCTTCAGGTAATGTGGCTCTTTCAATATTTGGCCTGGTTCTTTCAATAGCTGCTTGACATAGTTGTAACCCAGTATATCAGCATAACAGATATCTTCAAAAAACCTGGTTCTTTGATAAAAGTTTATTAATCATCAAAACTAATTTAAACTCAACTCAACATATGGTTTATAGATGTCTTTAATTTCATGGTATTGCAACTACAAGAGAACAGGCCATTAGCATGGGAATGTAGCGTGGGACTTCAGTTCCCTAGCTAATATAAGCATTTAGCTAGGGATGTAGCTAGGAAAGTCCTATTTCCATGCGAATTTTTTCGATTAAAAATATAGTCACAAAATAGCTAGGAAGCAGCTAGGGACTGTTCCTTTCTAAATGATAGCTACAGATTTTTCCTAGCCAAATTTATAGCTAACTTTTAGCGGGAATTCAAACTTGGCACTAAATTTATTTTTCCAAAAGATCGTAGTTTAGCTAGGGACACAGTCCGTAGCTCATCCCTAGCAATGCGCTAGCTAGGGAAGTCTCCTTAGCTAATCTATAGTCAAATTTACCTAGCTATGGAAGTCTCCTTAGCTAAGTTAGCTAAGAGCATATTAGCTACAGAAATTAGCTAAGGTCATTTTCCTAGCTAAAGCGACGTTAGCTAAGAGTCACGGTAAGTTAACTAGGATTTTGGTTTCTAGCTAATGGCTTGTTCTCTTGTGGTGACCATGCCTTTTTGATAATATTGAGGT